CCTTTCTCTCCTTTCTCTCCTCTCTCCTTTCTCTCCTTTCTCTCCTCTCTCTCCTCTCTCTCCTCTCTCTCCCCTCGCTTCCTGTTCTGTTGCGGCAGCAGGGAGCGAAACGGAGAGAAAGGGAGAGAAAGGGAGAGAAGGGAGAGAAGGGAGAGAAAAGAGAGGAAAGAGAGAAAAGAGGGAAAGAGGTGAAAAAAAAGGAGAGAAGCTGTAAGGAGTGAGAAAGAGCGAAAGGGAAATCAAAAAAAAGAAGAGAGAACGAGGAGAGAAAGAGGAGAGAGTAGATCACCAGTAAGGATAGAGAGGAAGAGAGAGGAAGAGAGAGAGGAAGAGAAAGAAGAGAGAGAAGGGAGAGAGAAGGGAGAGAAGGGAGAGAAAGAGAAAAGAGAGAAACAGGAGAGGGGAGAGAAGCAGGAAGAAGGAGAGAGAGGGAGAGAAAAGTGAAAGGGAGACGAGAGTAAGGAGGGGAGAAAGGGAGAGAATGAGAGGGCGAAAGGATCCGTTGAGGGCATGCAATTTCGCTCTCTGTACTCTCTTTTCATATCCTGTTACGTCAACAGTAATCGAGAGAGCACGGATGTAAAAAGAGAAGGGGGGGAAAGAGAGAGGGGAGAGAGAAAGGAGAGAAAAGAAGAGAGGAGGGATTCCTTGAGGGAGGGTATTGCCCTACTCTTCCCCATTTCTGCAATTTTCATGTCCCTGTCCTCGACTGGTCGCTTTTTTTCCTTTCTGTTTCTCTAGGTCGTTTGATTCTTCTTCGTTTTTCTCTCTCTCGCTCACTCTCTCTCGCTCTCTCTCTCTTTTCTCCCTCCTCTCTCTCTTTTCTCCCTCCTCTCTCTCTTCTCTCACTCCTCTCTCCCACTCGCTGACGCGGGCATGGGTCTCCGTTTGTCGATTTATTAATAATTCTGTTGTATGTTATATGTCACATCGAGGGGGCGGACGGATGGAATAATCACCCCAGACCTTATCCCCTCTCGTTCCCTTTTCTCCACCCCCCCATTTTTTCCGCCAAGCTCTCAATCTTGTGTTCGTTTTTCTACGCGTCGCAACAGGGAAGTCGGAGAGAGAGAGAGAGAGAGAGAGAGAGAGAGAGAGAGAGAGAGAGAGAGAGAGAGAGAGAGAGAGAGAGAGAGAGAGAGAG